ATTTAAAATTCCCATGTTATTCTTATGGAGAATATTGTCAAATGTTGTAGTTTGCTTGTTTACATCTTACATCTTACATCTTACATAGGTCCTCTTCATCGCAGTCGTAGAGACTGGAGAATCGTCATTTAAGTTCCTTCTTTCTCTTCTTATAATAGCCCTATGTGGTAGTTATGATCTTCATAGAACTCTTTGATGGTGTAGTATGGTCTTTGAAGGAGGTAGTTTTTTAGTGCAGCAGTGAATTTGTTTGTGTTGTTTATTGTTTTGAGTTGTTGTGGAAGTAGGTTGTAGAGCTTTGCTCCCATTGCAGTGGGAGTTTTGTTGGTTTTGTTTAATCTGTTTTGTTGGGTGTTATAGTTCGATTTTGATCTGGTGTTGTGGTTGTGGCATGTTTGTCTGGTTTCAGGCGGATTTTGTTTTATGAAATTGATGGTGTCAAATATGTATTGAGAGGTTAGGGTTAGGATTTGGTGTTTTATGAAAAGGGGCTTGCAGTGTTCGAGGTAGTGGGATTGGTCTATGATTCTGGCTGCTTTCTTTTGAATGATTTGTATTTCTTTTAATAGGCTTTCGCTGGCACTTCCCCATGCAATTAAGCCGAATTTAAGGTGTGAAGAGAAGATTCCATGGTAAGCCATCTTAGTAGTTTCTTCGTTGGTGATTTCCCTGATTCTTCTGAGGGCATAGATAGCTGATGAGAGTTTTCGCTGGAGCCTTTCCAAGTGGGGGTGCCAGTTTAGTTGCTGGTCAAGAATGATGCCAAGGAATTTGGTTGTGGGGTTGGCATTTGTTGTGTCTTCTTGAGTTAGAGGTTTGTTTGTTGGGGTGAATTTCAGGCAGACAGTTTTAGATTCGTTGATTCGGAGATTTAGGCTATTGCAGATTTTTTTTGCTGTGTCTATTGTTTTTTCTGTTAGATTAGGTGTTGGTATGCCCGGGACTATAATGGTCGTGTCGTCAGCAAACATTATACATGTATTGTCTGCTGGTAGGAGGGTGGGGAAGGTGTCTATGTAGATCAGAAAGAGTAGGGGTCCTAGTACTGAGCCTTGAGGTATGCCTTGAGTGATGGTTTGCAGTTTTGATCTGGATTTGGTAATGAAGTTTCCACTTTGGTGTTCAATTTCAATGAGTTGTTGTCTATTGTAGAGGTAGCTTTTTATCCAGTCTAGAGCTTTGTTTTTGATGTTTAGGGCTGATATTTTTTGGAGAAGTAGTTTATGGTCTAGGCTGTCAAACGCTTTCTGAAGATCCAGAAATACGCCGTTTGCTGTTTTTTTATCCTCCCAGATATTGGTTATGGTGTTGCAGAGTTGAGCCAGAGCGGTATTTATGGATTTCTTTTCTCTGAATCCGTGCTGGTTGTCGCTTAGGAGGTGGTTGTTTTCCAGGAAAGTTATTATTTGGGAGTTGATTATTTTTTCTAGATATTTGGATAGGGCCGGTAGTATTGAAATTGGTCTATAGTTTTCGGTTAGGGTGGTATCTCCTTTCTTGAATTTGGGGTAGACCAGAGCTTGTTTCATGGCTTGTGGAACTGTGGCTTGTATTATGGAAGTGTTGATAATATTTGTCAAAGGAGGGATCAGTTCATTCTTGCAGTGTTTTAGGATTTTGTTTGGGATTTCGTCCAGTCCGCACGAAGATTTTGGAGGAAGGATTTTGAAGAGCTTATCGAGTTCATGTTCGGTGATTGTTTTGAAGGCAGATAGATGTGGTTTCTGTGTCATATCAAGTGGGGTTGGATCAGGTGCTTTGCTGAGGTTTGAGTTTCGTAGTGCGTGGTTACCGATGTTGATAAAATAGTTGTTGAAAGTGTTGCAGATCGATGTTGGGTTGGTTATTTGGTGTCCATCTGAGTTGAGGGTGATATTATTCACTTCATTGTCCGTATTTTTCCTTTCTTTATTTATGATGTTCCATATCGTCTTATTTCTGTTGGGGGCATTGTTTATTATGCTCATTGTATGTTCAGACTTCTTCTTTTTTACATCTAAGTCGTATGCTCTTTTGAAGTTACTGTAGATTTTTTTGTCTTCCTCACTGCCGCTGAGCAGATATTTGTCATGGGCGGTGTCAAGTAGTTTTTTAAGTTTGGCTGTGGTTTCATCCCAGAAGGTATAATTTGTTTTTTTTTTCTTAAGTTTATGTAGATCTTCGGCATAGTATTATTTATTTCATATGTTAGGATATTTACAAGGGCATTGTATTTAGCGTCTACTGATTGAGCAGTGTAGATTTCATTCCAGTCACATTGGCTGAGATTTATTTTGAGCTGGTCCAGTTTGGTTTTTGTGATAGGCCTGACTTGTTTCTTGATGGGTTGGTTTCTTAGGTTGTGGCGGTTTGTTATGGTGCAGCTGATTCCCAGATGGTCTGAGAAGGACATTTTGTGGGTTTTTAGGGCGGTGTTGTGGACTGTGGAGTCCAAGATTTGTAAGGCAGATGTCAATACTGCTGACCGAGGTGGGGGTGATTCTGGTGGCCAAGATGTTTCCGATCTCTAGGTTGTGTTGGTCTGCAAAAGCTATTAATTTCAGTGTGTCCGGTTCGTGTGGGCGCAGGATATTTACATTTATGTCTCCCAAAAATATAATATCCTTATTTCTTTTGGAGTACATTTCCAGAAAGGGATCTAGGTGCTTGGTGAGTTCTTCGATGGGTTTAGAGGGGGATCTATAGGCTCCAATGACCGTTAGTTGTTGTTTAGGCAGGTGTATGGCAACCAGTTCTGAGGCAAGTTCCTCGCAATGTGGCTTGGTATCGATTTCTGAGTAGGAGTTGTTACTTGATTTTTTTGAGAAGATGGCTATTCCTCCCCATTTATGTAATATCCTTGAGAAACTCGTAGACAGGGAGTAGTCAGGTAGATTAATTTGCTTTATGTGTTCTTCTGTTAGGCCGTGTTCGGATATAATGATAATGTCTGGGTCGATTAAGCTGATTTCTGATTGTAATTTACTTAGTTTACTGTGGAGCCCTCGTTGAATGTTGAGGTGAAATATTTTTATTTTTTTGGAGTGATTTTATTGGTGGATGCTGTTTCTTGGATGGTTTGGGGTTTTTGGGGTGGCGGGTTTAGGTTTAGCTTGGAGCTGGAGGGGGGGGGGAGTTTGTATGTTTTTTGAGGACAGGGTCGGTTTTAGGTTGCTGGTATTTGTTGTGGTTGATTGGGAATTGTTGGGTATTTGTTGGCCGGTGGAGGCTTCCTGGGTTTCTTCAGTTGGCTGAGGGATGTTGTTCTGGTGTTGAGGGCATGGGTGTTCACTGGTTTGTTTATGGCTAGGATGGGTGGTGAGATCGGCTTCTATGCTAGACTGAGGTGGGTTGGTAACGAGAAGTTTGGCTTTTTCGATGATAATGTTAGAAAGAATAGTGGCGCCTTTACGGTTGGGGTGAATGTTGTCGGGTCCGTAGCAGTCTTCTTGGCATGCTGGGCTGGTGTCAATGAAATTCAATTTGAGCTCATTACACATGTAGTTTAGTGCTGCATTTGTTTCTTCAATATGTTTATCTCTTATGTCCCTTCGATACATTATGCCGTTTACAAACCATTTAGTGTGTGGTGATTTCTTTTTGGCGGCCTCTATTGTCAGCCATAACGGCCTCATAACATGGTTGGGCGTTTTTGAGTGTGCCATATTATTAGATCCAATATTTATAACTATTTGGTCAGGTAGTTTATCTTCTTCGCTTAGGTACTGACTCAGGTCTCTTATGATGGCTCCAGATCGGACTTTGGTTAAGATATCAATCTTGTGGTTCTCTTTTATAATGCTTGCTGCAGCTCTTAGTGTTGAGTCTCCGATCAGTAGTGTACTTTTTTTGGGTTGGTTTAGGTTTCTAGCATCTGGGTTGGGCGCATTTATTTTAGGCCTATAGTTAGGCTTGTTTGTGGTTGGGTTGAGTTTGTTTGGTTTATGAATCTGGTTTTGTTGGCGGGTTTCCTGATTTGGGTTTGTGTGTCGGGCGCTCTCGGAGGGTTTGTCAGTAATCGGGTTTGTAGATACTTGGTTATTTTCAGGGCTTGAGGGAAGTTTAGAGGTATCTTTGACTAGGTCGTGGATGGTTTCCTCGAGTCTGGATATGACTTCCATTTTGCGGGCTATTATGTCAGATAGTTTTAGGTTTTCCTCATTTTTTGTGTCTAATTGGGTTTTTAGGGTGTCTATGTCTTCTAACAGAAGTTCCACAATCTTGTTTGTTTGGTCAGTTTTTGTATATGTTTGGCTTTGAGAGACTTCCAGCTGTGTCAGTGCTGGGTCTAGGCTTGCGTTATTGTCAGGTGTATCTTTTTTAGTGGGTCTAGTCCTACTTGAACAGGTCTTACACATCCAATCAAAGAGATGATTGTTTAGGGAAAGCGCCCTATATTGTTTGTCGGTGACATTTACACACTTTATGGTACCATGTTAGGCAATCACATTCGATTGCTTTGTCGTTTTCTAGTACTTCTATTTTACATATAGCACAGGGGTGGGTACTGGGTAGGGCCCTGATTGTTGGTTTGAGATGATCTTGTCATGGTTATTAATTCGTTGTTTCAGAGGTTGGTAGGGTTAGGTTAGGTTTGAAGGAGGATTGATGGATGCTATGGTAGGTGATGGTTTATTTCTTATTTATTTATTTATTTATGGATATATTTATGGATATATTTTGATCAAACTTGGCAAATTTATTTATTTTGTACTAAGCTATCAATATTTTACTCAAAAACACACTTTATTAGTTTCCTTGTAGCAGCAAACCTAGGTACTCGTTAAACCTAATGTTATTAAAATATATTTAACTGAAAATCAATTCAGACAAATGGAAATTCGCTTAGTCGGCAGGTTTGCTGCGGCGGGGGTATTTTGCTATAAAACTGTGGAGTGGGGTGGGGAAACTCGAAACTGGAAGTAAGGAAGGAAAAAGGAAACAGGAAAGTGAAAACAGAAAACCGAAAACTAACCTAGAAAAGTTTAGTGAATAGAATAAGAGAATTAGAAAAACGTAAAGTAAAAGTAACCCCTAAGTTATCTCTTAACTTTCTCTTAACTTACTAGACAAAACTTAACTTATCTAACCTTTTTAAAATCTTCTTGCCATGGATGGACAGTTTGCTACTTACTAGTTTCTACCGTGAATACGTGCAGGATTAAAATTATTTTCTCCTAGCCTACCATTGGTTATTTTGATGTAAGTTTTGAAATTATATCAGCTCAGCTCAGCTTTTAACAGCCATGGTTTAATTAGGTAGGTATAACTTACCTTTAAATTATATGACCTAGGATAGGCCTTATATTTAAGTTAGGCCTAAATAGGAAAGAGTTAGGCCTAGGGCCGAGCTGTTGTAAGTTAAGGTTTGGTTGAGGGTGGATTTACTAGGCCTATTGTTAAATAAATTATGACAATATTAAGTTAATCCAAATCCCACAATTTTATAGCCTAGGCCTATAAAACCAGTGGGTCACCACCTATAACTTAGGCCTTTTAGGCCTAAATTGAGAACCGATTGTACAAAATAAGTTTAGGCCTAAACATAATGATTTTATTTGTTTTAAAATAAATTATATAAATCATAGCCTTTTAGCGAATTACCCCTTTAACCCTTTCAGACCCGGGAATCTTAGTCATCTTGACCGCTTTAAGTCCTGAGCAAATTTTGAATAAATGTTGGTTTTTAACCTAGATTTCAAATACTAAAATTATTGATTAGGTTTGTTAGACGAAACCTTCATGATACCATATTAACCATTTCAGGTGCAGCAATAATTAGCATTACCAAATATACGTTTAAAAACATAAATAAAACAGGCATTATCCTTAACAGTTGCCTCTTTCTCCTATCTTACCATGACATTGCAACAAAACAATCAGTGTTACCATAAGACATGAAGGCAGACTGCAAAACAAAAATTCCCAGCTGATCTCCATAACCTACACAATCGATGCGTACAGGTCTGAGCAACAGAAAGATCCAGAAACTTCAAAAAAACAAATAAACATCTAACCTAAACTACACAATAACTTAGTGTTGGTTAAGTTGTCAGGACTTAAAAATTTACCTACACAAATGAGTGTGCTGGGTCTTAAAGGGATAGGGAATAAGCTATTTTGTAACTAGCCTAACTATAGCACTAACTTAAACTTATTGCCGTAAAAGAACCCTTTGTCCACTAAGTTAATGGGGGCACAAGTCATAATTGGCACCTAGACAGTTAATTTACCCTTTAATTGGGACTCTTTAACCCTTCGAGTGTTATGTGTCGTAAAAGCGACTCATAACACACTTTGTGTAGTGTTTTGTGTCGCTTTTGCGACTCACAAACACTGTTTACGGCGAAGGCTCTATGACTGACTAAATCGGATTGAACTTGATCGAGTTAGGTATCGTTTTTTTGGCAGATTCTAAGCTTTCTCCCGAGGTCTGTCTCTAAGCGCTTTTTTTTTCTCGAGCCGATCATAATTGTAGCAGACAGCTGACATGCGTATTTGTAAACAGCTTGGTTAACCTCGTTCCGATGACTGATGTGTTTTATTACGTTTATCGTTGTTTTAGTGTTAAAAATCAAAAGTAGTGATATACGTGGTGCATTATAAGAAGATTTAATTGATTTTGAAGGGCTGGTTGATGATCCTGAAGAAGTAGGTACCGTAGTGATATTGATGTAAATTATCAGCCAGATTCCTAGCTATGGTTAAGTTTAGGCTATGCATTCTTAGCTAAACGCTATGTACCGAAATCTGTTTTTTTGCCCATAAATTATTTATTTGAAAATCAACTTCCTTATATATTATTATATTTTTGGAATCCTCATAAAATTCTGAACAAAGTGGCTATTTTAAAATATTTGTAGTCCTATAAATTATAACAATTTATTGAGCGCAAACATAAATTTTTTTCATTTATTTTTGAGAAATGTTAACCCCACAAAAATTGTTGAACATTTTTTTTGTAATGTTTTATATGTTACGTTGAAGCCCATATTTTTCCAAACAAAATGATATATAACCACATTTTAATAAAACCCTGCGATTGCGCAATAAATGGGCTAACATTAAGACCAAAACTAGAGACACTTGGAGGGTTAAATAATACAAACCAGATTAGGCCTACCCTGAAATTCATTTTTATTAAACTAATACGTATTTCGGCACTAAGGCCATTATACATATTATATATATGTAGCCTATATACTATATATAGGCCTATTATTATATATTATTATTTTTATTAATATTATTATTATATTATTATGAAGTTCGTTCGCTACGCTCACTCACCTTTGGGTTGGAGCTCGTTCGCTACGCTCACTCACCTTTAGGTTGGAGCTCGTTCGCTGCGCTCACTTGCCTTCAGGTTAGCTCGTTCGCTACGCTAACTCGCCTCCAGGTTGAAGTTCGTTCGCTACGCTCACTCACCTTTGGGTTGGAGCTCGTTCGCTACGCTCACTCACCTTTAGGTTGGAGCTCGTTCGCTGCGCTCACTTGCCTTCAGGTTAGCTCGTTCGCTATGCTAACTCGCCTCCAGGTTGAAGTTCGTTCGCTACGCTCACTCACCTTTTGGTCGCAAATTAGCTGTTGTCATAAATGTAAAAGAAATAATAGTGCTGCACCCTGTTGGTAATCCTTGTAACTTTAATGCTATTGAACATCATAGAACAGAACCAACTTGTTTAATTGAAACAGCTGTTAAGATTCATTAATTCCATTTATCATAAGGTTAACATGGGAAACTCCAGAGCCACTGGGGCGGAGCCCTTTTAAGAATTTCGAAACGGGAAATAGTTTACGTCCGATTCGCATACCTACAGAATTTACACACCAAATTTCATAACGATCGGTGAAGTCGTTCCGGAGGAGTTTGCAGACAAACACTGTGACACGAGAATTTTATATATTAGATTATTATAGGCTATATTATTATATATATTATATAAGGTGTACGTTTTTGTACATGACCTGGGTTGGATGAATATTTTGGTACTAGCGCGGGGGTACGATCAACATAATAATAGGGCTATCAAACAAAATACACAAAATAAGCTATATAAACCATATATTTTTGGAATCGGCACAAAATTTACTACAACTTTACAATTTACCTTATGATGATGAGTCTTACCTGCACAGCTACACGACGGAATATAAAAACATTTTATAAAAAAAGTAATAATGCCAACAATTTGGAAAAACTACAATTTTTTTAGTTTAATACTAAGTAGTATAATAAGGCCTATTATTGTTCTTTGTCTTATTCCGAACAAAATGATATATAAGTTAATAATCCATAGTTATGTTGCTATTTCTAATTTTTATGATGGTTTAAAAATGATATATTACTTAAATCAATTAATATCCCCATGCCAGTACAGCGTTACACTAGTGCCAGCTCTAGGGTTAACTTATTATTAAAACAGAAGCCCTAAAAAAATGAACAAAACTAAAAAAAAAAAAATATAATATATAATATACTATAACACCTGCATTGGCGCCGTATATCCGGCGTTGCCATTTCGGCTGCGGCCGTTCGCGCCATATATCCGGCGTTTGCCGGCGCTAGGGTTAATGAACATTAACCCTAGCACCCTAGTAGGCATATGCATAAGTCAACTTATGCATATGCCTACTTCTATTGAATTCTGGGGTTTTGTATCAAACATTGATTTAATTTTTAAGATTCAGAAAAAATGCTTAAGAATAATGACATTTGTACCATGGAGAACATCATGTAAGCCAGTTTTTAAAGAATTAGGAGTAATGACTGTTCCGAGTTTAAAACAATTTTTAAAACACTTTTGATGGTAGAAGGAAATTTTGAAAAATTATGTAGGTAGGGAAAACGTTGAGCATAGGTATGATACTAAGTTTAAAACTAACTTTCAATATCGGCGGCATCGTCTTTCATTAGTAGAAAAAACCCCGACATACATTTGGGCAAAAAACTATTTAATAAACCATCTCAAGAATTAAAGAACAAAATACAGTCCAAGCATTTCAAAAGCAGCCTTGCTAATTTTCTTTTAAGAAAAACCTATTACAGTAGGGGCCTATAGATGAGTTCTTATCTGATAAAGTTGTGTAAAAATAAATTTATTTAGGCTTAACTAAATTTTTTAACTGATACATTATGTTTATAACACTTTTATTTTTATAGTTTTGGTTTATTTTAGTCTTTTATAACTCCTTAGTCTTATAAGTTATTTGTATTTTGACAATGTCACCTGTTTTATAGCATTGTTATAGTTATGTAAACGTTATGTGACAGTAAAGATTTAATTATTTATTTAAACCTGTGTTGATGTCGTACGTGTGTTATTGCACTCTTCGACTCTTCACTAACGGTATGGCATTGTCATTCTCTGTTGGATGTAATGGCAATCGTGCCCAAGAAGATTGTTTTCTTGTCGCTTTTGATGCCATGCCATCAATTTAGAACAATCAATGTTTAATTTTTAAACTAATAAAAATCACATTTTTAGTTATTATTTCTTAATTTTTCATCTTGATGAATTTGACTGTGTTAGTAATACTAGGCCTAAGCCTAATAGTCAAACAGTAAAGGTAAGGCACAAAGTACCTTACCTTTACCCTGGTTGTCTCCCTTCGGTGTTACGTTCCTATGGTCTGTTATGAATTGAAATAAGAGATTTTAAATGCTCAAATCGCCTTAAACCCAGGAAAAAAATTATTTTGCTCTAGAATTAACGAAACCTCCGGATCTCCTGTGGGTTATAAACCCCCCCCCCCCTCCTACTGACCTGTGAATGTCAGCACTGCCAAACTAAAATTCTGACTACACCCTTGGTAAAAGTTATGACAATAGACACTTGACACTAGGCTATCTATTTATGTACTTAGCAGCCGATGTTCAACCCTTCGTCTGTTGACAGCCACTTTGCCACCCTTTGCATTTGTTATGTTGTTTCAATTGGAAGGTTTGTAGATTATGTGGTAAATAGTTTGAGTTAGGATGTAGTCTGGTCTAAATTGAACCCCTAGGCCCTAGGCCTAATTTATAAGGCAAAATTTCAAAACTGTTATTATTAGACTGTGAAATTTTGCTTTGTCCTGTTGTAGAAAGATTTTGAAGGGAAAGTTCTTTTTTGATTGCCTAGACTTATGAAAGTTTACTATATTGCAATTACATCTGGTTAATATTATTAAACTATTTTTCAGATGATCGAGCTGTCGTACTGAAAGATGTTGTCGAATTGTGGGACTATCGATAAACCTTGTATCAATAGATACACTTGCCAGTTTTGTGGAAATTTGTTTACGGCGAAAAGAAACTGCATAAGACATGAGAAATGTTGCCCTTCTAACAGTGCTAGATCAAGTGGAAGTACTTGTCCTACATGTAACAATTTTTATAGTGACGACTACATTAAAAAACATGTTACAAAATGCTCAGGCACAGTTCCCAAATGTAGCACACCCTGTTTAGTAAAAAGCTGTGACAAGAAATTTGTCCACAAATCAGGTTTGGTTAGACATTTGCGTGCGTGTCATCAAGATTTTGAGATAAAAGATTTTGTCGAAAAGAAATTTGAAACTTATGACGAGTTCTTACAGTGGAAGAGATTAGAAGAAGAAAAGACTTATTCATGTTTCACAAAGAGATCGAGTAATAAGGGTAAGAAATATGAACACTTTTATTGCCAACGAGATGGAAGTGCTAAGTTACATTCTAAGAGAAAGACAAACAGGAAAGTCCATAGAGGGAGAGTTAAAGTTGGAGATTTTTGCTTTGCCAAAATGAAGGTTTGGAAAGATGAAAATGAAAAAATATGTTTGCAATATTTGCCTACTCACTGTCACCAGTGCAACCCCCAAGATGTAGTCCACCGCCCTTTGCGTAAAAACACTTCTACCCTAATCAATGAGGAATGTATGGATCAAGTATCTCCCAACAGCATAATGAAAAAAATCATAATGTCACCAGATCTGCAAACCAGGATTAATGTTAAGAATCAAAAATTGAATATTCTCTTCAGAAGAAAAATGAAAGCAACTGCAAATAAACAAAAGACCATTAGAATGGACGAGAAAGATGCTGAGGCAGTTTATTTACTAGCCCAAAATATGGCTAGAGATGACTCTCTTTTGATTTTTAAACCTACTGAGGGAAAGGTTGTACATGGCCCAATAAGCATGAATGATTTACCTGAGTCAAACAATCTATTTATGTTTGCAATGCAGACAAAAAGTCAATTGGAACTTTTGAAAAAATATGGCAAACAAATAATGATTGTTGACATAGCTTCTGGTACTAACCGTTATAAATTTCATTTAATAACATGTATGGTTGTAGATGAAAACCGTGCTGGGAAGCCAGTCTGTCACTGTATAACTAGCAGATTAAATACTGCATCGTTAATGTTCTTCTTTAGCAGCATTAAGGCTCGAATTGGCAATGAGTTTGACATAAACTGTGTCTTAACTAGTGATAATAACTTTATTATCAGTTCGATGAATGTTGGATTTTCAAGAGAGTTCCACCACATCATATGTTTGTGGCATATATTTAATAACATGAAAAACAAACTTAAGTCTTATGTCAACGGGAATATTTTTCAGGAAATGTTAAATGAGATCGAAATGATGATAACAGCACACGAAGTGACTTTGTTTACTCGTCTCTGCAACGAGTTTGTAGCAAAATATGAACAAAACAGAAAAGTAGTTCAGTATTTGGAATATTTTAAAAAAAACTTCCTCACTAGGCCAGAGAAATGGGCAATGTGCCACCGGGGGTTCCCTCATGGGGATGTGAATACCATCGGACTCTTGCAAGCCTTTCACAACAGGTTAAAGGTTAATCTCAAGAAAAGTGGCAATACAAATCTAATTCACTTAATCAATTCCCTCAAACTAATGGAATTAGAAGATCCTTTCCAATTAACAGATTCAACAGAAGAGTTTTTATCCCCGGTGCACCAAGGTTTAGTTGAACGACATGAACAAGGAGTACTCATAAGTAATGCTGCTATTTCTAAAGTATTGGGAAATATTTGGGAAATGTTTTTGGGGACTGAGCATTATGCAATTGTTCAATATAGCTTGGTATGTTCTGAAGACTCTTGCACTTTTAGATGTCAATTCCTTGAGTGTCATCAATTGTGTCGTCACATGTATCAATGCAGCTGTCCAGACGAACACCCATTGTGTGTACATGTCCACAAGTTGCATATGTATCTTTGTCAAGAACTTTCACCATATGTTGCTGTCACTAAATTCCATGAAGTGGACGAAAATATTTCTGACTATTTGATTGTAGAGGTCACTACTGAGGAGGAAAGTCGGAATGAGTCTGATGATCAGGTTGACTTCACCATTTCCAGAATAAAGACAAATTGTGGTACCATTAACGACAGTTTAGCTTTGATCAACACTTTCTTATCTTCTGCGGAACAGAATAAAACATTGGACAACAAGCTCTTGTATGTTGATTCTCTTGTTGCTGATCTTGTTTCACGGATGCAGAGCCTTAAATCAAAACTTGAAATTGAGTGAACAGTATTCAAAACCAGTTAACTACCATCATTATTCAGGTGAATTTTAAGTCTCTCTTTTAATAATTGTAACAAGGACAACATTCATAATTATTGTGATTTAACTTACCCTACTAAAAATTTTACATTCTTTAGCCATTGTAGTCTGTACATTTTAACCATGTCAACATTCAAACACAGTCTACTCAGTGGCGTAACTAATACCAATGCAATGAGATGCAGGTCTTAGGGGGAGGGGGGGCTAAAACTGATACTCTGGAAAATTTTTAGCAAAAAAATATGTTGAACCCAAACTCCCTGTAGCTTACTAAAATTAAATGTAAAAAAATATTCATGGTACTTTACTCCGTTACAGTCACAACAGAATGTTTGCGACTCTTTTGTTTACTATTATTGTTATCTCCTCGGTGCAATGTTGCACAGCTGCGCTTATAACAAGAATAGACTGCTCTTGTTTATTTATCCTTGTTAGCTACAAAGATAGAGGGATCAAATCTTTCAGTATTATTTTAGAAACCACAACTACATGTCCCTGTCAGTCTTTGTTGTACGATCGTGCGGTCCAGTAGTGTTATTTGTATTATAGCAATACAAAACAACTTTAGACAATGTATTTGTTATACAATAGAAATTAGTGGACCGTTTATTGGTGCGTTTTAGTGGATTTTGTTATGATATACTGAACGAAATGGACGAAAATACTTTTTTATGAAATGGCGACCATACAAAAGACCTAGTGGCGTTGAGTTCCGAAAAAAAAGAAAAAAAACAAGAAGATGAACAAGTGAAAAAACTACCAAAGATAGACATGTAAAAAAAAATGGGATTTTGCTGACACTTTAGCTGGTACGGAAAATTAACATTATATTGTAGCTTGCTATATCGGTAATGCTGTATAGGACATGCATGAATATAACATGTTAAGTAAAGTAAGAAGTAGGCCTCTAGTCTATATTTTATTGTCCTAAAAAGTACATTAATTAATTGTAAGTATGTAATGCAATCCTTACTAGTTATGTTGATGGTGTTTGGAAATGTTTAGTAGCCTAACTTAATTTTACTTTCAAATGATTTTTGAATAATATTTTTTTAAGTAATTAACTTTAAAAATAAGCCTACTTAATAAATGATGTTTCTTTGAATAATCTTTCTCTAATTGGATAGTGCTTGTACAATGTCGTGTGTAGTCTAGTGAAATATTATTTAGGAAGTGTGGAAGTATGGAGAAATGTCAAAATGTTAGTTTTGTTGGAGCTTATTGGGGAGAATGAGTCTATGAATAGGAGCCACGGAGAATACTTGCATTGGGGCGCAGTCAGACTAGTTACGCCACTGAGTCTACTAAGAACAATTTATTAGAACAACAAAAGCAATGCAGTTTTTAAATATGGATTCTAAAATAATTTCTTTAGGTTCATTGAACAATTTCATAATAATTGGTGTATTGGCTGATTTAAAATCAAAGCTGTCAAAATTTAGCATTAAACATTACATTACCCAATAACATGTAAACATAAGTTATAAACACTTAACACACAAAACTTGAGTGCTATCAAGTTAAGTGTATACCCAATGGTTTTAAACTCATCATGCTGGATAGCTTCACCCTCTTAGACCCAATCAAATCGAAAGTGGATTTTCATCAACAGTTGTCACTTTAAATTTTATGGAATACTATTTTTTTTCTTACCTATACCTCCATAACCCTTCATCGGGGGATAAAAGACACAATATAGCCTACTACTTTTGTTTGTTTTTTAAAGCTATTTTTAATACATCCTCTAAACCGATGGAGCTTTGAGGTTTTCAGACTATAAAATAACAAATACTCATATTTACTTAATACAACCCCCTGTAAAAGCCCGTTCTCATAGTCTGACCAGGATGAGAAACTCATTAGGTTGGAAGTGTGTATACTCGATGGTTTCGCTAAGAAAGAATCCTGGCCAGACCATGAGAACTGTATTGTTCAAATCAAATTATCTTTATTCACTTTATACATTTGATATACATGAATAGTGTCAAAGCATACAACATTAGTATAAAACTTAATCTAAATGGCTTAACCATAAATTTGACAATTATTTTAGAATGGACAGCTAATTCATTTTTGATTTATAAACTCATCTATACTATAGGGAGCCAGATTAATTAAGAATGATTTTAGCTTTTTCAAAAAATTGGGTTTGTTTTGATCTTTTTTTTAATAAGGCAGGCAAACTTCTTATGAATAAATTGCCAATATACGAAGGCTTCATTTTTGAAAGTTTCAGACGATGATGACTTTTTACTGTAAGATTTTTCCACCTTGTATTGTATTTATGGGATACTTCAGTGTTTTTATCTTTATAAACATGCCGAATAGTTTTAAAAATATACAAACCGTACACTGTACAAATTTTCATTTCTTTAAAGATCTTATTCTTAAATTTTTCAATAACTAATGGCCTGTTTTTGCAGTTTTAAAACCTTTTTCAAATTTTTTTGTGCTGTCCCACCATAAATTTCGATTCCGTAGCCAATATGACATTCTATAAGCGAGTGGTATATCAATTTTAACACAGCTTTATCACAGAGATAAGCCATTGATCTCAAAACAAACAAGCCTGAATTAATTTTACCAACCAAATATGTAATATGTTCATTCCAATTTAGATGTTCATCAATTATCAAGCCTAAAAATTTAGTTGATTTCACTTGATTGATCGGCTTATTATTTAGATTAATTTGAGGGGTTTGATCTTTTTTTATCTTATTTCTATGAAAGAGAGCAAAATTTGTCTTGTTTGTATTAAGTGTTAAATTGTTGTTTGTTAAGAATTGTTCAATATTTTTGAGCTCCAATTCAGTAGAATTTTTAATACTGGAAGTTAAATGTTTAATACTGGAGGTTTTACAAGCAACTATGCCATTAACTCATTACTTTTTGGTAATTTAAAATACATAAAATACATTTAAAATACAATACATTTCTCGGGTATTGCAAATTATTCTTAAATCTGGTGTTATAAATGTGGTCAAAGTTTTCACTAATATAGTCATCAAAATTTGACTGCACCGCTAACAATGTTTTGTAAATTATTTATTAATTTGGAATGGTCATAATATTCAATTTTCTAAAATCTGTCTTGCATGAAGATTTCCATGGTAAAAAGGTCATGATTCTTATAGTTTTCTTTTGAATTTTAAAAACTCTAAATTTTTTTTTGTAATTTAAAAATATTTTTTGAATGAGGAGCATTACCCATTGTATTGTTAATTTTTAATACTGGAGGTTCTACAAGCAACTAAGCCATTAACTCATTACTTTTTGGTATTTTAAAAATCTTTTTTGAATGAGGAGCATTACCCATTGTATTGTTAATTGTTGGAGGTTCTACAAGCAACTATGCCATTAACTCATTACTTTTTTGTAATTTAAAAATCTTTTTTGAATGAGGAGCATTACCCATTGTATTGTTAATTGTTAATAGCGGAGGTTTTACAAGCAACTAAGCCATTAATTCATTACTTTTTTGTAATTTAAAAATCTTTTTTGAATGAGGAGCATTACCCATTGTATTGTTAATTATTGGAGGTTCTACAAGCAACTATGCCATTAACTCATTACTTTTTTGTAATTTAAACATCTTTTTTGAATGAGGAGTATTACGCATTGTATTGTTAATTGTTAATACTGGAGGTTCTACAAGCAACTATGCCATTAACTCATTACTGTTTTTGTAATTTAAAAATCTTTTTTGAATGAGGAGCGTTACCCATGATGAAGATACCACAATTATGTCATTAATGATGAGAGATACACAATACACATTTTATATTGTTAATTGTGTTTTATTGTTTCCAGATGTATTACTTATGAAATTATTCTAATAAAAACTTTCTATTTTGATTATTAACTTCAATTTGACATGTCCAGTTAAGTTTCTTATAAAAATTTATCCAAGAATGTTTCAATTTTGTTCTGGAAGTATAATGATTGAAAAGGGTAATGTGGTTTGAATCTTCCCTCCTTCCCTGTAGTTAGCAGAAAAGTTGATTGTTTTTTTTACATTTAAGGCCAGGCCATTAGCCGAGTACCAGTCATACAGAGGTTTATTAAAACACTGATCATTCTTATTTTGTAAAAGGACCATTAAAACATGCAAGGCTCTCATGTAGTGCAACAAAGGCATTTATATATGAGGAGACTGATTCTCTAAGTCTCCTCTATCTGTAGATTCAGCTTGTTCTGTTTTCCAAGAGAGACTTTCAATTTCTGCCTCAAGCTGAGCTTGTTGATATTCAAACAGGGTTCCATGTAGCAGGCGTAGGGATAGGTGTACTGCAGGTTGTATCTACACAGGCCAGCAATGTAGAAACATTCATCAGATAAGTGCCAATCAATAGTTGTTGGGAGCTGTGCAGACGGGACATGGAATACAATTGGACACAGGTTCAGGCTGGGTCAGAGGCTTAATCTTGGACGTAACGAAGAGACGAGAAGCATCTGATTGTTACTCACTGATGATTGTAGGAATAGCCCACTTGTGGGTGTGCAACAGCATTTTGGCTAGCGAGGGTGTTATCTGGAGACTAGTGCTTAGAGTTTCTACTGATTCATTGAGCAATCGCTCAACCTCTTCCACTCTAAGTCACCGGTAATAAAAGAACTCTGGATCTTTTTTGCACCTATCCTCTTGTTCAATCTCACAGTCTTCCGAGTTATAGTTTCCAATGTTGTAATAGTCATTGTAACTTAATTCACTATCTTCGTCATCACTGTAGTTCATATCGGATTCACTAACCCCCCCCCCCTCCCCCCCCATCAGGATTCATCCCTGGAGATTGTCGGATAGCTAAGCTGGGCTGGATTATTGTTTTTTTTTTAATTAGATTCTGTCTATGAATCAACATAGACTATTTTTATCTATAGTTTAGTTTACAGCCTAAGAATACAAGAAGAATTTAAGAATGTAGCGTACTAGGCCCACATGATCTAGTTTATGTATTAATATATTTTAATGTCTTGACTTGTAAAATTTGTTTAGATGCCAAAAGCAGGTAAAGATAATATCCTCTTGAAAATGATTGAACAAAACTTTTATTTTAAACTCTTCATTTTTTTTCATAATAACATTCAACTTAAATTCTT